GGAGGGGCTGACAGTGGTTTTTTTTTTTTGTCTTTTTTACCATCAACAGGAGGAAGGAAACCTAACTAGTTGTGTGATTTACAGGATACACATGTGTATGTGTGGTGTGTGGTGTGTGGTGGTGGTGGTGGTGGTGGGGTGTGTGTGTGTGTGCGTGAGAGAGTGAGTGAGTGAGTAAATTTGTGCATGGAGGGCAGAGGGGATGTTTGCTGTCTAGCTTTCTTTCTACACTATCCCCTTGAGACAGGGCCTCTCCCTGAACCTGGGGCTTGCCAGGTTTTAGCTAGGCCAACTGACCAGCAGTCACCATAATCCTGTTTCCGTGGGCCCTACTCCCCCTTAGTGGGTGGTTATAGGCACATGTAGCTGTGCCTTCCCGAGCAAGCCCTTTTCTCAACACTGTGGAGGTATATTTTTAAAAATCCCATCAAAGCTGGCGCTCAGCTCAGGCTGACATTGATGCCTGAGAGATATTTCTCTTGTGAGATTTTTCTGAAGAGGGCGTTTGCTTATTGGTTTCAGCATCATCGACTTCTCAAACCGTGTTTCTTCACCTGTATCTGAGGTTAGTCACAGGATCACAAAGTGCCAGAGCAATGTGCAGCAGTGGTGAACATGCTTAGAAGCTTTTGGCGAATGTTTGCCGCATCTGTACACGTATGCTGCACCATGTTTCCCAGGCAGGAGCTAATACTTCCATCCTGCATATGGTTATATAGACTGTTAACTGTCAAGCCATCCATAGACGGTTTAATTTGGCTGGTGAATTTTTGATTTCTGGCTTGAGAGACTGTTGGATTCTTCCAACTTCTGAATCATCCCAGCGAAGTAGTATCTGCGAAAGCCATCTTAACTTGAACGGCTACAGAGTTACTGAGTGTAAAGGTTGACTGTCTGCCCTAAAAACATAGCCGCGATAATCAGAAGTTTACAGTTAGACCAGCCATTTCTCCGGAATTGGGAGACCCCGGGGGCGACTGCTTCACAGAGCTTCCTGTTCGTAATTAGGGTAGAAGAGGTTAAGATGGGAAGCAACAAGACTCGTAGTGATGATTCTGACATTCAAAGGTAGCCAGCAGAGTTGTGTTTTCCTCCCAGAAGTCCTGGCTGTAGTGTGGATTGTGAAGTATTCCCGAGACACTTGGAATGTGTTGGGAACTCCCACCATCTGTCAGACAGAGGCATGTAGGGTATTTATTTGAACACATGAGATGCTGAGGTTCCTGCCAGACTGAAGACATGATGCCCTATGACTATACACTTCAATGAACACTGTCAACTGCAGGCTCCAGTACTTTTTCTTTATTGGTCTGACTAGAATAATAAATGTATGCTGGATTTTAATATAATGAACAATTGTATCCTCTTTCTGAATTAAAGCTTTCAATTAAAATGAAGACAAAATTTAAAAGTTTTATTCTTTATTTCCTCATCATTTTTTGAAGCAATTTTTATGAAATTGATGGCAGAGAAGTTTTTTGAGCCTCTAAATTTCCTAGTAATAATTAGTTATTATAATTTATTATAATAAAAAAATATTATTATAAAAAAACTGATCCCTGGTTTTTTAAGTGTTGTACTATTTTGTAGGTTCTTGGATCGGAAAGCTTCGCTGTCAAGTTCCTCCTTTTCTTTTTACATGTAGAACAATAGCTACACCCTCCACCTTTGTAGCTTCCCTGAGAGCTTACCTCAATCGTCATGACATAATCTCTGAGACAGATAAAGATATTTTAATGAAAATAAACACTGATATCCATCTGTGATGTTCTCGCCAACAATAGACTCTTTCCAGCAGCAATGCCATTTCTGTTCAGCATGTCGACAGGAGTTTTGTGGGGGCAGCGAGAACACTTCTAGCTCAGCTCATGTTACGTTTGGGGTTTTGGTTACTTGACAGTATGGTTTATTGAATATTTGGTCTTCCCTGTGTAAAAGCATGCCCACCTCACCGGGTCCTCTAACACAGAACTACCTTGTTTGCCTCCTTCTGTGGGCAATGAAGTTGAAGCAGAGAGAGAGAGAGAGAGAGAGAGAGAGAGAGAGAGAGAGAGAGAGAGAGAGAGAGAGAGAGAGAGAATAAGTAATTAATGAAGACAAGCACTGTCTCCAAGCTCCCACCTTACTCAGATTCACATTTCTTTTCCTTTATGTAAGCACGAGACCAAAGGGAAAGATTTAGGTTCCAATAAGAGATGGGAGGATGACAAGGATGACAATGTTGATGCTGATGATACCCAAGGACTTGTTTCCTTGGGCATTTCTTAGGAGGCAGCATCTTCCTCATTGGGAATATTCTATTTTACCAGTTGTAAGGATCCCCACAACGTTCATAGCCATGTAAGTCCTAGAGGATCATGGCTTCGTAGATGCTGTTACCCAGAGTATACAGAATGCCTAAGAGTGAGTGTATGGGACGGTAGAGGGAACTGAACGAGGCTGTATGTGGGCCTGAGAGATCTCTGTGGACTGGTAGAAAGGTTCTAAAATTGGATGACGGTGGTGTTTGTGCAACTCCACATAAGATCATTGAAGTATAGTCTTAAGAAGAGTGAATTTTGCAGTTTTCAAATTACACCTTAATCAACTAATAAAAGTGCCTGATGTTTGTGATGTCGCTAAAGGAACCCTCATTTCCTCTTGGCCAGAGGGGTGCTACAGGACTCTGAAGTGCAGCATCAGTTTCCCTCTGAGCAGAGCAGGGAAGGAGGAGTTGGAGGGATGCAGGCAAGCTGGATGTGTCACAGGGACAGAGCTGCAGTCTCCAAATGGGAAGAATGGTACCATGTTTATGGTCATGACAAATCTTAACTAGGTTCTCAAACTAAGGTACACCCCTCTGCAGAGCTTGAAGGCTGTCTGTCTGAATCACTGTAACCTTTTCATTAGTTTGAAAACAATACCTCATAGTCAGAAATCTTACCTTTAAATCCTGTCAGTCCATATAGTCTGTCTTTTAAATGACTTGATCAAATGTACTACACAGACTTGAGTTCATATATCTAGTAAATCTTATTGCATCATGTCGGCCTGGCTGACGTACCTTAATTACCATTTTCTTGTGGCTATTTTTTAATAGTGTGCAGAAAACATTTACTGTGACATTTTAGAATTTTGAACCACTCTGTGTGTGCGTGTGTGTGCGTGTGCACGAGTGTGTGTGAGGTGTTTCCGTAAGGCTCTGCTGACTTGTGTTGTTGAGACTTGTGAGAAACCTGCAAGGGCTCCCTCACTAAGGGGAGCACAGGAAACAATTGACACCATTTCTTAATTCACATTGTTTCTGAGACATTTCCTGTTTCCTAGTATAATAGAGCTTTCCCATGAGAACAGTTTTGCTCGCAAATGGTTAGACATGATTGATTTTTCATTGGCACACGTTCTGTGGGGAGATTGTTCACTGTGCTTTGTAGCAACAAGTTGCTGTTTTTGCGTGTTGGTGGGGGTGGGGGGGGGGCTCTGCTTCGGGTGAAGATGCCCCAACTCTTTTCCAGGTGTCAGGAGTTTTCTGTGACACACGGCCCCTGAGAGTTCTTTCTTCCATAGTTGGAGTCTTTTTTTCTTGAAGCAGCGTATGATTCATTTAAGCTGTCAGTTTAAGGAAAAATCTCATGAATTATGGTGTTTTTAGGGGTGCCTGGTGAGTTCCATGGAAAGTGGTTCACAGCGATTGATACTCAGGGGGCTGAGCTACATGGCGGTATGTGATATTATCTCTGGAACTGTAAAGTACCATCAAGGAATAATTCTAGAAATGGGAAATGAAACACTTAGATGAGATAACCTAATCTAATTTGCAATAAAAGAGTGTTCAAGTTACTTCCGAAATGATGATTCCCACATTCAGAAGTTGTACTGCATCTATAAAGTGAAAGTAAAAGTTTTTCAATTAAAAAAAAAAAAGATGTGGAACTTGGAGTTCCTTTTCCATCTTATCAGGTTTTGTAAAATGATGCTGCTTGTCAGTGTTGAAGTGCCGTCCCTCTGGAGGCCTGGAAACAGTTAGATCTGTTTTTCTCCTGCCCTTCTCTTCAAGGCAGTTTTTGCTGGGATGAGTCTTATTTTTATCATCCCAACAACCAGTTTTTAGAAACTTCTGGAAACGAAAAAAGAAAAATGAGAATGGCACTGTAGCTGACATTCGTTTTAGCGTTTCCTAGTGTGAACATTTGAGTACTTCTAAAATCTTCTCTCCAAGTCTGTCTTATTTTTCTCAGTTTGTCCCAGTTCTCAGTCTCTGTTCTGCTGATTGGATAAAAAAAAAAAAGTTACAGTGTAAGACCTTATCCCCAGCAGAATGACTTTTTGAACTTTTGATCTTTATTTTTGCAGCTCAGCGACTTCTTGCCCCTCATTCTAGTCAATATAACCACAGGTCATGAAAAACCAGAGCAGAGCGGACCTCTAGGGATTGCTCAACATAAGCCCCGGATGGTATAAAAGGATGAGGCCAAGGCTCCAAAAGTTAAGGGCTGGTAATTTAGCTCATTGGTAGGGTATATGCCTAGCATATGTGAAGTCCTGAGTTCTAGTAGAGAGTAAACTGGGCGTGATGGTGCACACCTGCAATCCCAGAGCTTAGAAGCAGAAGTTCAAGGTCATCCTTTGTTCCATATCAAGTTAAGGTCAGCCATGGCTACATGGGACCCCATCTCAATACACAAACCCAAAAACCAAACAAACAAAGGAAGTGCGATGAAGGTGATGTAGATATCGCATAACAGACATGTGAACTGAATCAAGAACTCTTGATTTCTAGTTTGGTATTCTTTGACTTTCCTAAAGCTACGGCCTAAAGGAAGACAGAACCAAGTGCCAGCCAATGGGTGGAATTATACAGCAGCTGAGTGAAATTGGGAAAGGAGTTCTATTTTTTCAAGAATTCAGTTAATGTCCTACTATGTCCTACTCATAGACTTACCTGGCCTGTGGTTCTTGCGTGGTGTATGTGTAGAGCTATCATGAGGTGAAATGACTGTTGACTTGTCTACTTTCCTTAGGCCACCACACCATCTACATTGGGGTCCATGTGCCCAAGAGCTACCGGAGAAGGAGACGTCACAAGAGAAAGGCAGGGCACAAGGAAAAGAAGGAAAAGGAAAGAATCTCCGAGAACTACTCAGACAAATCAGATGTGGAAAATGCCGATGAGTCCAGCAGCAGCATCCTCAAGCCTCTCAGTGAGTATTCTGGCTCAGCACCGCTCTCGGCCTTACTCATCCTTGGAAAGATGCTTTGCAGAATCTTGTGGCCAGTGGTGGAGGGAGTCAGGAATCCTGGGGAGCTCTGTGTAATGGGTAATGCCTAGACGAGCTTCTTGTGCTGATAAGTTAATCTAAGAGCTCTTGTGGAAGATTCTGAGTTGATGGGGGAAAGATACGAGCAAGTGTAGGCACAGAGAGCACTTCCTCATCCTGATAAGTGAGGTAGGATGGAGTTTCACAGATGAAACTGTATTTAACTATAGTAATCAAAGAGTCAGAGGCTCTTGGGTTGTTTGTGCTTAGAAATGGGTTCTACCGAGACAATACGTTAAGATGAGACTGCCTGCATGTATATGTTCGTCTTCCAAATGTCACAGTCACAGGTGACATTTAACTGGATTGGGGGCCAGGCCAGTGATTTAAAAAGGAGTGTCAGAGAGGCATTGCATAGTGCAGAGAGGAATGTGGAGTGATACAGCTCTCAGAAGGTCGAGCATCGTAGATTTCAGGCGTTGTATAAAACGTGAAGACGGAATGGCAGGAGATCAAAGAACACCCTTGGACTCAAGTGACAAGTAGACCATGGGTTTAGGCGTGTGTTTATGCTGCTCTGTGTTTGTTGAGTATGGAGACTCTTTGAAATATGGGGAGCCTTATGCCTGGAATGGGAATGAATCTGTACAGGGGAAACACATGTCGGTCGGTCGTGGAAGATTCCTGAAGAAGACGACTGCCGTAGTGATAGCCTTCATGCTGGCAGAGCACTGTGCATTCTTCATGTCTTGCAGGAACCCAGACCCGGCAATAAAATGCATTATGGGTGGCACAGATAAAGATCAAGGTCAGTCACTGTGGATGATGACAGGCCAAGCTAGAGCGAACAGCTCAGGGGTGTTGAAAAGTGAATTTACAGCATTAAATTAAAGAGGGTGTGAAGTGTAGTGATGTGAGTCTTTTATAGGCTCGGCACTGGGACGAAGCAGGTGGCTTAGGAAGCCAGGCAAGTCCCACTCTTCAGAGGAGCCACACAGATGGCCCACAGAATTAATACCAAGTATCAGAGAATGTGGAAATGGATTTCTGATCTGAAAAGGGGGTAGAGTAAGTGTGAGATGTAGGAGGGAGCAGAGGGCAGGTGACGGAAGCTGTGCTTTTTTCATTGCAATGCCAGGAGAACTTTTTCTGAAAGGATTCTTCATGATAGATCATCTAAAATAATAGTATTCGTTTTAAGCCAAGTCCTTGAAATGCGTATAAAAAGGGTTAAGCAAGACTAGCAGCTTGAAGGAAAAAAAGACAATATCCCTCTCCAAATAGATTGCCGTGGTTTCTCTCTGTTTACTGTCTATTTTGGCATGGCACCAGCTGGTATCAAGGAGGGCCTCTGCTGAGCATGTGGGAGATGCCCTCTCCTCTCCTTCTCTCTTCTTCTCCATTCCTTTTCTCTCCCCTCTCCACCGTTGCCCACCTTCCCTCTCCCTTTCTCTTTCTCTCCCCCTCCCCTCCCCTTCTCTTTTCTCCCTCTTTTGAAGTCATCTCTTATTCTTTAGTTAATAACAAAGAGTGTCTATATTAAAAAGAGAGGCACTCACCTAAACCAAAGTGCCAAGGAATTTAGAGGTAATGATGATGTACCGGCTTTTTGGAAAGGCTATGCAAACAGTGCTAATAACACTCGAGTAATTCAGAATGGGCAGCTCAGAAAGAGGCTTAGGTAAATGAGTGTTAGTCATGGAATGCTGTTGCTCTCTGTGGCATCTGGGGAGCAGTTTGAATATAGCATTCAAAATAAGCTATATAATTTGTTCTGAGGGTGAATCCTCAGAGGTCTCTTCCTGGGCACACTGTTTTGTGTCTTAAGCTAAGTTTTGGAAATGTTGTAAACATGCTATGGACCAATTATTTGAGTATAGTTTCCCTTGTAGCCCAAGTTGGCTTTGAGCATGCTTGGGAGATGCCCTCTCCCAAGAGATGACATTGAACGTCTGATTCTTTTGTCTCTATGTCCTGAGAAGGTAGGATTACAGACCTGCCCTGGTTTATGTGATGCTGTGGACTGAATTGAGGACCCTGTGTATGTCAGACAAGCACCAAATGAATTATAACCTAGTTGGAGGTTTTTTTTAACCCCTTTTCCTCATGCTGGTCATGAGATTTTCAGCTTTAGTCATCCAGTTTGATGCAAAGGTCCTCTTAGAAATTGTCATCAGTTTCTCTGCTTCAGCACAGGTGCATCCAAATACAGAAAGGCTGGTACCAATGTACCAACATTTTTTTTTTTTAATGAGAAAATGCACCTATGGAATACTTGCCTCTTGTTCTATTGTTGTCTCTCATGAGTGGCCATGTCTTGAATCTGGACACTTGTCATGTCCTGACGATGAGATGCTAAGTGTGCTGCCTGGGAATCATGCAGTAATTGTATCTTTTGAGAAAAAAGCCCCAAGCAACTCACAGATAAATTGTAACTTGATGAGAGGCATCTCTGAGTCTTTCTCTGCTGTTGCCTCCATAGGCAGTTCTGCAGTGCCTTCTTCTGTCAGGTGTACATCTAAACTCTGCCTGGCTTTGTCCACTTTTCACTTTGGCTGCTCTAGTTTGGCCCAGGGCATTGTCATGTCTTGCTTTGCTTTTGAAGTCTCTGTCTGCTCAAGGCGGCATTGGTCATGGTGAAACATGAGCTGGGATACGTCACTCCTGTGCTGATGGTTTCCCATTGACCTTGTAGCAGCATCCGAGCTGTGCATTCCGGCACACAGCAGCCATCCAGTCATTGTCTCTTTATCTCTTATGCCATTGTCTCTTTCCTCACTTTATTTTGTGATGTTATGGATCCTTGCTTCCAAGCTATTTGCTACTCCAGAGCCTTTGCATGTGCAGTCCCAGCTTCCTGGAATGGCCATACCCTTCTTACCTCCATTGGCTTTTTCCTTTGTCTTCCTTCCTTAAAATGCTGCCTCTTCAGAGAGACTTTTCTGGCTCCTCTAATGCTGCTTCCTCAATGTTGGGGTTCATCTGCCGCTATTTGTCTCCTTCATGATACGTGCTTCAACTAACAAGTTTCTTGAGTGTATAGTTTTGTTTTGAGTGGATGCTACGTTGTAAGTTCCATGTCTGCAAGCAAGGGTACAGTGTGTCTTGTTAATTTACTGTGACTCCCTAGAGCTGTGCCAGATCCAAAGAATATTTAATACCTGTTCACTGAAGAATATTTAATGATTGGATTACTAATGAGGGAGAACACAAGCATTGCTTTTTGTGTTCAAAATCTCTCCCACATTCTAAGTGAAAATCTAGCCTGTCCTTTCTTGCATCCTGTCCTGACACATCATCTCTCTGTCTTGCTTCCCCCCACCTCCATATACAATTTCACCCTGACTTTTAATTCTTCTACTTTGGAAAATGCCTCATTATTTCAGCTATTTCCAAAATGACATTTTGTTCTGGGTAGATGACTCCCAAGTATGTAGTCTTGCCTGTTGGCTGTAGGTGAAGGGAAGAAATTGATCCATAGGGTACATACATTCATCATGTATACTTACAGGTGCTCATCACTGCACACAGAAGTCAGGAAACTCTCCTTAGAAGCCACTGCAAAAAGCCCAGAAGAGAATATTCAGAATCAGTTTGAAAGTGAATCAGCCAAAGACTCTTAAGTATTTAGGCACAATGGGAAGGTGACATAGTCAACAGGTTCATTTAGCTTCGAATAGAGGTGCGTCTTCTCTCTTCCATCACCTCTGGCATCAAGATGGGGTTTCTGAAAAGTTGATATGTGTTTGATCCTGACAGATCTGGAGCTGTAAGGATAAAGCTAGCTAGCTTCAAATCCCTCCCCTTTCCCAGCTCAGCAGCCCCATGTCTTTACCTGGCTCCTGTTACCAGTGTGGTGTCAGAACTGGTGTCCCAGCTGGGGATACGGGGAAAGAAACGTGTGTGTGTGTGATTGTGCCACCCTGAGCAACAGGGAGAGCAAGGCTGTGGAGCAAGTGAAGTGGAAGAACAGGCAGGAGGAGAGACAAGGGAATGAGGAGGTGGCGCGGAGTGGGTGGTGGAGAGAAAAGTTAGATTGTGCTCTTTCTTAAAAATAATCCTTTTACCTCCTCCACCATGCACTTTTCCCCCCCTAAGTTAGCAGCCGCCAGCCTCTGAGGCGTGCCCAAAACGCAAGGGAAAGATGGTCCTGAGGCTAGGATTGAGAAGCGCAGCTCAGCTCCCCATTACTCACGGCTTTGGCCTCTGTGCTTCACAGCTTATTAGTGTCCTGGAAGGTTCCTAGGGGCCCCACCGGCCACCCTGTGACCGCAGACTCTGTGAAGCCGTGTCAAATGTTAGGAGCAAACCTAGCGTCGTGCTCGGTGTATTGACGCGCTGGGTGGTGTGTTTCTGGACCAGCTGGAGCCTGCATCAGCGCAGAGGTACTGGCTGCCTCCTGTCTGCAGGTCTGCCCACGATGGCTGCACGGTGCTGGGTCAGTGGGTGTGGACGGACAGTCTTGTGTTCTTGTATTCTTTTCTGACTCTTTGGATGTCTACCAGAATGGATGGATTTATGCTAGTGGACATTGTTCTGTGAACCAGGGACAATGGATGCCAGTCTGTGATCCAGCTAGATTCGGGAAACTGAAACAGAGAAATGGGCAGTTGCTTTTGTTTGGGGCATCCGGGTAAATGAACAAAGTAGCTTTTTACCAGAGCCAAGAATATTTGGTTTTTGCCACTTGACTTCCCCATTCCCAGCACACTCCTGTGTCCTTCTCCAGCCTGGCCTTGCACTTTCTTGGTACATTTCTTCCTCCTCCTCCTCGTCCTCCTTTTCTTCGGTAATGTTTTTAGGCATGATCCTTAATATATGATATTTGATATCATAAAGTAAAATTTCTTTAATTTTCTGTATGCCAATGGCAAATGAATGGGTCTACAGGAGAGAAGCGAGTCTGTCGTGTGAGGGGAAGTAGCCCCACTCTTGCCTGAGGA